AGGACTTCAAGACCGACCTGCGCTTCCAGAGCTCGGCCGTCATGGCGCTGCAGGAGGCCAGCGAGGCCTACCTGGTGGGGCTCTTCGAGGACACCAACCTGTGCGCCATCCACGCCAAGCGCGTCACCATCATGCCCAAGGACATCCAGCTGGCCCGCCGCATCCGCGGAGAGCGCGCCTGAGCTGTCAGCAGACTGAAGATTCAGACCATCGAAAACCCAAAGGCTCTTTTAAGAGCCACCACAACGTCATTAAGGAGCTGTAAAATCCTAATCATGTGTAAGGAGTGATGTCTTTTGGGTGGTTAATAGTCGAGAGGATCTTGCACGTCAAGTAAGTATGAAATAATGCATAAACTGTATTTTGTAGAAGTCAAATCCTGAATTTTGCAAAATTGTTGTGCAGTAATTCCTTTAAAGTGATTTTCCTAAGCCAAATTTTCGTTTAGGGTTGAATACTGCTCTAATTTTTTTTCTCGCGTCATTTTGGTTCGTAGGGAACAACCTTCACTGTTCTCAAAAGGAAAATACCTTCTTAAAAGATAAGTGGGTTATTTGTTGGCATGTCTTGATATCATTTGTTTGAATTCGTAAAGGGAAGTTCTGTAGAATCCTGCTCCCCTGGCTGGAGAAGTTAAATGCGCTCTGAACGTCTCCTGTGTGTTGTAAATGTGCTGCCTTTATGTCCCCCATTTAACCTCACCGTTTTTCAACAGTAATATTGTATCTTATATCTCGCCCCCCCTTACCCTTTTATTGCTTTGATTTTGGGAGGGCCTGTGGGACTCGCTTTGTTTCTGAAAGCGCAAAATCTCCTTTCCCGCCCTCCATGGAAGGACTCCATCGGTGCTTTCCTCAGTGCTCCACCACTCGGTCGTGAGCGACGTCCCGCGGGCATTTCCAGCCCGTTTCAAGAGCTACAATTTATTCCCGAGATAAAATATTTCCAAAAGCGGTGGGGGGCGGGTGGAATACAAGGTGGAGGCAAGGATGTTTTCAGAGTCCTTATCCCAAGCCCTGTGCCTGCTCCTTGCTGGAGTCTCGTCTAGGACCACACGTGTGACATCTTTAATGCATGGTTGGGGATTTTTGGTTGCATCAATCTTCTCTGTCGTTATCCAGGCTCCCAAAAAGGTTTTTTTGGAGTTACCACAGACCGAGTGTTTTCCAAGAAGCATCTGAGATTGAAAACTTAGCAAGTCTAGCATATTATCTAAATGGAGGCTCTTCCCTATTCGTCGTGTTCAGTGATTTTTGTGAACCCCGAAAACGAATTTATCCCTGACTGTAAATTGAGTCACACACACACATCCCTGCTCTCCTAGTCATTAAATGTGTAGTTGCCTGAAAAATGTACATTTCTAAAATTATTTCGGACTTTCTGATCCCTTTATGTATATATACATATATATATATATATATATTTTAATGCTACAGGTAGATTTAGGTAATCTGGGGAGCCTGCTGTTCCATTGAATTATTGGAAATTATGTCCCTTTGGTTTTTCCATGCTACCAATGAGTACCGGTGGCTTTAGGAAGCTTAAACACAGCCTTCATTTAAGCCAGGAAATAAGGAGCCACTGAGAAATGCTTAGAGGAAATATATCTCCCAGAAAGCCTAAGATTGCAAGGCTCAGTTTAGTCTTAACTGCTGCTAAAACCTTCATTTTAGGAATATTTCCTTCTCTCTGTGAGAAACTTGGACTCTGCAGCAAAATCCGACCAATCAAGAGCCTCGACACCATTTTCTTTCCTCTGTTTTTCTCACTTTCAGCCATTTTCTGTTTCTGAGCCTTGGAGGGTTAAAAGGGAGGGGGGAGAAGGCATCGGGAGCCGGGCTTTGGGAATTCAGGGAATTCTGCTGTGATTTATTCATCCATCCCCCCCGATTTAGTCGTTGACATATGACTTGTGTTTTTCCAAACAGATTTTTTTATTCCTGTAGATTACTAGTGGGACTGCAGAAATGAGATGTAGTGAAAGCTAACTCATTTCATTTTCTGATATGGCCAAAGATATGTTTACCTGGGCCTGTTTGCATATGCTTATAGGAAAAATAAACATTAAATCAAGTAAAATCTCTTTTTCTAGCGGTTTATTTAGAAGATATTTGATATCTTATAGAAGCTATTGGTCACAGTAGTTACACTTCAGAAAAATGTAGCATCAGAATTAATGGGTTTTTTGGTTTGGGTTTGTGGTTTGTTTTTGGCTTTTTGGTTTTTTTTGCATGTTGAAGAAACAAATTATATTTAAGCAGTGAGACAGGGAGACAGGTTTTATTTGCCTTCATCTCTTCTCTCTTTTCCTCTTGTCTTTTGAAGACCTCAAACTGTTTTACTAAATTAAATATTATTTGGATTAATTCAGAGAGAGTTGCATGCTCAAATGGTAGAAAAAAACCACTAATCACTTCATCAGCCGAGACAGAAACATGTGCAGTGCCCTTTATTTTCTCAGGGCTCATATAAACTCTATAATGCCTGAGCCTAAAGTAGTTTTGGGGTGCAATGCACAGCAAATGGGTGGCAGGCAGACACAGGTGATGTGGTGCAAGATTCCCTAAGTCCAAGTGGGAATAAACATGGAGGTTCCTGTGGTGCCAGCAAGGTTCAGCTGCATTTCTTTGCTTTTTGCAGGGGAGCCTGAGATAAAAGAATGCTGCCAAGGCAAAGCTGGATGTGAGCAAGAGCTCTGTGCTGAGCACAGCTGAGGATTGGCTTGAGAGCTGCTGTTGGTGATCAAGGTGCTTTTGCAGGTGATTTTTAAATGCTCAGCGAGACACTTGGCTAGGACTGTTCCTGGCCTTTTATCATCCATGGATGAACTGGCTCAAATTAAAATCATGGCCTGGAAGAG